TATTCTAGTCACTTGGATAACTCTAAGAGAAAAACAGGCGCTATTACTCATATAAGGTGAAAGAGGGAGAAGAGGAGACTTGAGTCCTGGAATTTGTCCCACATCAAGGAGGTAGGGAAGAGGTTTGGGCCAATAAAAGACCATGTCCTCTCACTTTACAAGGTTCTACCTTACCAAGTGGGCTAGTGTGGGGCCATCTCATGAGATACGTAAATAAAAAATCTTTGAAAAATAAAAAATAACAAATGAAAAATAAAAACATTTATGGTAAAATGATCATCTCCCTTAAAGAGTGGTCAACAAAAATAAAAATTTCAAAAAAATAAAAAAACAATTTGAGCACCATGCTATCCAGGCCGGTTCCCTGATAAAACCAAACTGGCCGGTTCTTTCAGAACTGATAGTTTCTACTACAAACTGCATAATTCCCAATATATTGCGAGAACTGGACAAGTCACCCCTAAAAACCGATCAGACTTGGGGGATCCCGATCTGGATCATCATTTTTTGAACACTAAGAAGGAGAAATAAGAGATGAAACTGGTCAGGAAGCCAGGTTGGCCAGTATATAGATACATAGAAAGGCATTCAAATTTGATTATAAAATAGATTTTAAATTCAAATTGGGAAGGGACATAAAAGTCATTCAAATTGATTCTAAAATAGATTTTAAATTAGGAAGGGAAAGTGGTACTTTTTTAAAATTAGGAAGGGAAAGTCATTCAAATTGAGTTAAATAGGTTGTGCATACTTTTTACAAAGGCTAATCACAGGTAAGGAGCTCAACAAAAAGAACAAATTGGGACTAACAAACCCCTTACAAATAATGCTCGCCTATCACATCCGAAAAATAGCAGCCAGAAAATAGGCTCTTACACAAAAACGAGACATTAAGGACGACAGGGGTATGGAAGTGTTGTGAGACATAGAGAGGCAAAAAGGTGAAAGAGAATAAGATAGGGTATGTGGTGAAAGGATAAGGAACAATAGGCTGCGCATTATTAGGATCATTATTTTAGTCATTATTGTGCTGATGATACATTGCTCAATTTTGTGATGCGAGCAAACAACTTATGAATAAGTTATACATCTACCCTTGATGTTTTGAGGTACTTTCAGGCATAAGATTCAATATTCCAAATTCCAAATTGACAGGGTGTTAGTCAAAGAGGAAGAGCTGGCTGTGTTGGCAAAATGCATGAGGTGTGGGACAGACAGGTTATGCAACAAGTATCTTGGCCTACCACTTCGTAAGGGCAAACCAGTCAAAGCTATGTTGAAAATTGGACTCTTAGAAGGCTAAGTAAGGGCAAACCAGTCAAAGCTATGTTGAAATTGGACTCTTAGAAGGCTAAGTACTAGTCACTAGGAGGTAAAATAACATCAATTAATTCCACAGTCTGCGATTTACCCATATACTACATATTATATCCCAAATCCAGTATCAATGGCACGCGAAATTGAAAAAACAATGATTGAGGATCCACAAAGAAGCATGTCAGATGGGAGAATGTATGCAAGCCCAATGCAAAAGAGAAATTAGAAGAATGAAAGATGAACCAGGCATCCTATGATTCCTATCTAAATGGTGGCGGAGGTTGAATACACAATCAGGCCGCCTGTAGCGAGCCAAGAACCATGGATGTCCAAATAATCACATCTATATTACCGAACTTGTTAAAAACCTTAATGGCCTCTGTATCTCTATGCTTTGTGCTAGAGCTGCAATCATGGTGTTCCATGAATTTTCTAGGCATTGGCTAGATAAGCTTAAGCACACAGAACTCTGTTATGCTGGTGCAACCAAAGATCAATATGTTCCAAGAGACAATGTTTTTGGCAGGAATGTGTTGAAAGAGCATCTTAGCTTCCATTTTTATTTGTTTGAATATAACTAGAGCATAGCAATCCAAGTAACAACATTTTTATGGGGTGATCAATCGAATAATGCATGGGCTCCTCTTATCATTTTGTACACATGAATAATTTAGATCAGAGAAACTATATCTTTATTGAAAAATTTGTTGAATATTTTAGGAGCTTCATTGATTCTTCCTTCTGTTCCAAGCTTTGTAGTTGTGTAAGGTTAATTAGGATGTTTCCCAATTTGTACAGTGAACACAGTTTGCATGTGAAATGGGTTTTTAGCCATGAGAGAGTCAATTTGAAGAGTTTAGAGACATGTTTGAGTTTAAGGCGACCAGCAGGAGGACCCCATGTAATGATTCACGTTCTCTCTCTAACCATCAAATGTTATACAAGATAGCGAGGGAGGCGGGCAAGGCCCTTGAGATCTCTCCCTCAACATTCTATTTTAGAGTAGGCCCACAGCACTCTTTCTCCCTCTAGCCCTGTGCTCACCACTCCCTCTTTTCCCACCATTCTTGGAGTGCCTCTAGCTTCATTCATGGACACTTTATCTCACCATTCATGGCGGCCCTATGGACGAAAACGAACAGTGTTTTCGCCCATAGGCGCATCGCCGTCCGGTTTTGTTATTTTTACTTACGATGCTCCTTGGGAGCTCCTGAGCAAGCAATCTCCTGCACTCCAAAGGTAGCGAACTTTAGAGTAGGAAATAATCCCCCATGCTTGCTTCCAACAACTATGTTGAACACACTACAACATTTTTGCAATCTCTATGCCTTGCACAACTTCATGAGAGCCTTCGGCTTTAGGGTATAGACCATAGAGGACCACAAATCCCAAAGTTGCCATTCACGACTTATAATGCCGTAGGGGTTTTCCTCAGACATGCAGCTGGAAGATTACACACAGCTGGAATATAGATCAGACATGCCACGAGACTGATCAGACCCCTTCTGGCACACCAGAATTCCCCACTTCATTTCTTTTAATATGTTAGAAGATTTCCCAATGATATGTGTACCCAACCGTACACCCACACTGCATGGTTGATGTGGCTCTATATAGCCCCGATCTGATTTGACTCTCATGATTTATATAAGAAAGCACATAAGCTTACACTGCAATTCACTCAGCACATAAAAAATCGTGAACCCACTATCCTCTACCTACCCATAGTCCTTGGCCTATTTCTGAAAAAATGTGTCTCGATATCTAACTTTGGTTCATGCAGTTCTATACACACCCCCAAATCAATATATGATTTATCAACTCTCAACAAGCTCAAGCCCAATGTTGTTCCACTAAAATCTACAACCTTCAACTTTTTTGTGGCATCATGCATCCCTACACAACCTTGAACTTGCGTTAAAGATCTGGCGGCCCTCATTCAAGGAAACCTACTTAGATCGCATTAGCTATTATCAGCTTCAAGCAAACTCTACGTTCATTGACTCACAACACAACCTGAACCCTACTTTAGGGTTTACCTGATCCAATATACAAGTGTGGATCCACTTCTAATACTCCAGGCAGCCATTGTTCAGACACTACAAGCTACCTCTTTTTAATGGACCTCAAGCTCTCATGAACTAGTTTCACTCGTGTTATTTCTAGACACAACCAAGGTTGCTATCCCACACAATTTCACAAAACTATGAACTCCTAAGTCTTTGCACTTCTTAAGTGCCTTAGGTACCCTGAGAAATGTAACTTCTTAGAGAACCATAACTAACAGCAGAAAAAATGTCTAAGGGCCAAAACAGGCATCTTAAAAAGCCCTTCTTATGACCACAAAACCATGCTTCAAGGCCCAAATAGGACATAATACTAATGCAGGTATAAGCATATGGATAACCTTAATTAAATAGCTGACCCCAAATAGTTGGGAAAAGGTTCTGATGATGATGACGATGATGATAACCTAATTTAATCAGAGTTGCAAAAGTAGAATAACCACAATATCTCGTTCAGAAAAAAACAGAAACGAAAAAATCACTGTAAAACTTCAAAGATTCACTTAATACATGATTTCTCTTTGTTTGATCCTCCCCAGTCTCAGCCACTTGACTACCATGTCCCACAGCAAGCACTACACAGCTTCTAATGCCTTGTCAAAATAGATCAAACCTTGGCAGTACCAATGGCTACTTGCTCCAAAGGATCCCGGATGATACCCATGAGGAACCAAATTTTGGATAGTCATATAAATATGGTTGAAATACAATTTTCCGAGATGGATAGCGGACATTAAAAATATATGGAATAGCAAAGCTTGTGTTGAGCTTTTTGCGTGCCCAACACCCAGACACAAAAAGTCAGTTATGAACATATATACCTGAACTCTGAACATGCATGTCCAAAGTCCAAACATCAGACATGCCCATCTAGAAATTGAACACAAAGGGAAGCAAGACGTTAGGTGCGTGTCTGAACTTTTGGACTCATCCAAAATTTTGACATGATTGTATAAAATTCATAAGGCATGCACAAATCTTTGGACACAAATATCTGATTTTCTATTCAGTATATATACTAATTTTATATATGAAATACATGAGTAGTAAACAATGAATACACATCAACGTATCCTTATTGTGCATACACGCCTCATGCAAGAAATATCACCTTCCAGTAGCTGTATCTCATGTTTGTATCCTAGTAACATAACTTTAACATAATTGGCTGCTAGCCTGCGATACTGGCCAATCGTCTTATAAAATCATGCTTATAGTGGTGCACCTTGCTTTGATAAGAGAGGAGAGCAATTTTGGGGCATTTGATTATATATGGGATACTTTAATAAAAAGTATTTGGAATTGGATTTGCAGAAAATCTAAAGAGTTAGGGAGATGGAGTAGATTGGAGGTAGATACATTGTACCTTGTTCCAGTAATGATGTCGGTATACAGTCACATTTGTTTTGAAGTAATATCTATGGAAACCAACCAGCAAGGAAGTAATATCGCTACATGAAGATAAGTAAATTCCCTTAAGATAAATTATATAAGTCCAGTACCATGGCAATTCATTCATCTAGAAACTCTAAATATGTGTTTAACCTTAACACAAACCATATCTAAAAAGTAACGAAGAGAAAAGCAAGCATGAAACAAATTCATAATGTGTCCTACCTGTTAATCCCAAAGGCCGTAAATCCCACAATAACAAATGATTGTCTGTGCCACCGGTAACCAATCTGCATTTCCTTCTCAGCAAAGCAGAAGCTAGGACCTGGGCATTTTTCTTTACCTGTTGCATATACGCTTTGTACTCAGGGGTAGCAACTTGTTTTAACGCTACCGCAAGAGCTGCAATGTGATTATTGTGTGGCCCACCTTGCATTGATGGAAAAACAGCAAAGTTTATCCTTTCCTCAAAATCATAATACTCATTATCATCCCCTTGACAATGAGCAAGTCCTCGCCTCCTTGGCTTTTTCCCCTTCCTGAAAAATATTATTCCACCTCTTGGACCCCTAAGGCCCTTATGAGTCGTTGAGGTAACAACATCACAATAATCAAAAGGACTCAGACACTCCTGCATAGTATAAAGGGAGATGCAACCATGTTAGTAGAGAAAATGAGTACTAGAACTGCAATGAGTAGACACTATAACAAAACCCTGCCCCCTTTTATTTCTGAACAGTAATTTCTATTGATTGGAAATCTTGGTCAATAACAAATCCCTACTCTGTGTACAATGTTACCTTTCTTTTCACAGTTGGACGAAAAGCGTTAAATCATAACACTAACTTGTATATCCTATGAAGTAGTATTCATTACGACAAGAATCATGAGGTAAAAATAATGAAGTGCATTCAGGGTATTGATAATGTCAGACCAAAAGTAATCAAAGGTCTTGATATGGAAAACTTGCAAAATAGACCTTTGAGCAATTATTCTAGACCCATGCAAAACCCATGCATGATAATTCTATGTTACCATAATCCATGTACCAACAACTAAGAAGACACCAAACAAAAGCTAAAAAGAAGCAGATCCAATAAGAGTGGGATTAGTTATAATTTATAACCTAGCAGCAACAAACAAACAGATGCAACACCAGGATCAGGGGACAATTAAGCCAATTTTACGAGCAACAAGTAAATGTATTGTAATCATAAAAAACATGTTATCTTTTAAGATGAATAATACCACCATCATATACTTTCGCTTTCTTCCATTTCAGATGCAATTATCATATGGCAAAATGCAATCAAAGCCTCAAACAAACATGATACTAAAATTAAAGCCACATTTTTCCGCAAAGAATTACAGCATTTCCCTAAACTTCATTGCAAACTAATGAAGCTTATGCTATCTCAAAATCTGCATCTACTCCTAACTAAACTTTCTATGCTCTTCAAGAGAGCACCAACCCTGGGTTATGCAAATACTGGTCACTTAACTAATCAGCGAGATTTTTTCCTCAAATAGTTCAAATAGTCAATTCAAAAAATCTGTAACTTATTTTCATGAAATCTGACAGACAATATCTAGGCAAGGGTTTTCTTTTCTTGCATTTTGGGCATCAGATTTCTGCTTAGACTTAGTATACCGCAAAAGAGGGCATCCATCCCAAAAAATCAAATTGCTAATCCAAAAGGGATGCTGTCCCTCCACAAAAAGCTGCATTATACAATGCAGTTGCAGCTAGCTGATTCTGCCCATTCCATTGAAAATGAAACTGTGTAGCATGCAGCCATAAATGACATAAAAAATACCACAATCCCCCACAGCCAATCATGTTGCAAAATCCACAACAAAAGAGATTTACCAAATATAGAAGTCATTAGGTAATCACCACACAAAAAACCTAACTATTAAACAGTGTTTAGATTGAATGACTGTGGCCATGTACCCGGCCCAGGTCTGAGGCGAGCACTCAGCCTGAGTCCGAGTAATTCGGCCTGAGTAAGGCCGAGTACTGTTCAAGCTAAATAATGTTAAAAAAAATTAAGAAAATCCAAAAAAAATAGGAAATATATGTTTAAAGTAAAATTAAACAAAAACACTTATAAATTAGGTTAAAAAGTAGTAACAAGAGTAGATTTTGAAAATTCAATTTGTGAATGGGGGAACATTTTAAATAATCCAAAAAAGATGGAAAAATATAAAAATAAGTATTCATGGCCAAAATACTTTCCAATCTTTGCTAAAATCGATAGAACACATTAAAAACATGTTACAAATAGATTTCTTATTTTTTGAATTCTTTACATTTTTTTGTAATTCTTTTTAAAATCCCCAAGTTGAACAACCAACTGAGGGATACTCAAGCTCGTGACGGTGGAAAGCCCGAGTTATTGGGTGAGTCCAAGCTGACTTGCCCGAGTAGTTAAAAATGATATTAAAACAAGGCACCATCAACTACCATTTCGTACAAGAAGCCCATTTACCACAAACAATAGTTACTCTGACAAATTATGGATAGTACAGTTCATCTTATGAATTTCACAATGACACAATGTTTTTAAAATAAATCTTGCTGAGTATAGCATGAACCGTAAATGATCACTTCCATTCAAATAAGCCAATCCCAAATAGGTTCTGGTGATGAAATCAATATCACATCTTCCACAGAAATATGGGACAACATCAAATAAAAAATTAAATTACAAAATCAGATTTTGAGCAAGACAGCAAACAAATACTCTTCACTAATCTCAACACTGCATGCGTCACTAGTTTTCACACACAAAGCATAGCACAATTTAATAGATCATGCAAAGCATGGGCTTTTATACCTTTGCAGCAACAAGACCACTGATATGGGCCATATCACACATCAATACAGCGCCACACTTATCTGCTATCTGTCTAAAACGACCATAGTCCCATTCTCGAGGATACGAACTTCCCCCACAAATCAGTATCTTTGGCCTGTATTCCAAAGCTTTCTCTTCAAGCCTATCATAATCAATGTACCCAGTATGTGGGTTCACCTTGTAAGGCAAACTCTCAAAGAAAATCGAAGCACCAGAGACCTTTTTGCCACTAGGTGTGTAATACCCATGACTCAAATGACCACCAGATGGAGAATCAAGGCCCATGATTCGATCTTTAGGCAAAATAAGGCCTGTATACACTGCAAAATTTGCAGAAGTGCAAGAATAGGCCTGAACATTAACACCCCATTTCTCAGAATCCAAGTGAAAAGCAGCTAGCGCTCTTTCACAACAGAGCAGTTCGATTTGATCGATGAATTGGTTTCCCCCATAATACCTAGCACCAGGCAAACCCTCAGAATACTTGTTCGTAAGGTGACTCCCTAAAGCTTCTAGAACAGCTTGACACACAAAATTCTCGGAAGCTATGAGCTCGATCCCTTTCCATTGTCTCTGCTTCTCCTTCTCCATGAGAGCCCATAAGTCAGGATCAATCGTGGCTAAAGGCTGTTTTCCCCAAGCCCTAACTGCCATTCTCCTGGCTTCTAAATCCATAGGCGACGATGAACATGGCTCATGTTGCTGCCTTTTCTGAGCAGAAACCACAGAGCCCTCCCTCTCTCTTCTTCTCTTCAAGCACATGGGGTAACCCAATATGCTGAATTCTTCTTCTCTCTGTTCTTCCAGTTCTGTTTCTTCCACGCAAGTGCCAGAATTGCCGTTATCAGATTGCTCAAGCAGCTGCAGTGGTATCGAGGAAGCAGAATTCGATGACTGATCATTGGAAAAGCTCGAATCGAGTTGAAAGCAAATTGAATCATCAGCAATGGGGGTTCGAACAGGGCCAGAGGCTTCTGGTCTGTCAGAAATGGAATGGACATTAAACCCTAGAGAGAGGTTCGAGCGTGTATCAGATATGTCCATTTCTAGGGTTACGGCGAGGATTTTGAGACTTCTCCTGAAACTGAAGGGACGCTTGAGGGGCTATCACTATTAGGGTTAGCAAATTAAGGTTCGGAGCAACAGTAACAGCAACAGAGGCAGCGACAAGAGCGACAAAAACGGCAGTAGCAGTAGCGGAAGAAGGGAGTTGAGGAGGAGGGGGAAGCATCCATGAGACAGAGAGGAACCCTAAAATAGAATCCAATGCACAGAGGAGATGCCAGAGAGAAAACGGGGAGAGAGCGAGGAATACAGAGAAGGCCCGATGCAAAGGATGCCTCTGGTGGAGAGCGAAACCCTAATTCCAGTGAATAGAAACAGTGAAAAGAGGCTTAGGGTTCGATGTTGAGAGAGAGGGGGATGCAATTTTGAATAGGTGCGGCCGCTGAAAGCTTGGAATGAGGTGGCGGGGGATGCACCTGGATGCCTTTGCAAACAAGAGGGGGAACGACTGGATCAGCCGGTCGCCCGCCTTCTACTCTCTTTCATTTTACGGGTGAAAACCGGTTTCAGTTTTCTCTCTTAATTGCTTCCGGTAATCGTTGTGCTGGGATCGTCGTTGAAACCTCAAAAGACAAGTTTTTCAGCTTTGAGACGCATTCCAAGCAACTAGCGCTGACCACCCTTAGACACCATCTGAAATTGTGGACCAGTGTTTGCAAAATTGAACCGGTTGGGAGTGGTTTGAACCGAAATTGGATTGACTGAGGTGGTTAACCGGTCAAGTAGATTTTTAAAAAAAATAATGGGTCAAAAAACCTCAAAAAATTAAAATAAAAAATGAAAAAATTTAGATTAAGTGTATAATATCTTATTACATACATTTCTCTTATAAAAAAATTTGAAACAATTTTTTATAAATTAATATTTGAATAATATGGTCATGTACATTATCCCAAGCAGGTCACATAAATCTTTTTGTTTCTTAGATTAGGATTTTCTTTGAACATATTTTTGCCATGTAACATCTTTTTTCAAGAATTAACATATTCATGTCAAATTTTACATGAAAAACTTTCTAGTTTCTTTTGTACAAAAATCACTAACATTAGGAATGAAAATTTATGCACTTTTTTGCAAATAACAAAAGTAGCTTGATACTATTAAATCAAATAAAAACACCAACAATTAAGAACAGTAGAACAAATAATTTTATCAAAAAATAAGTTTATTCCGCAAAATAGAAAAATATTTCTCATATTTATCATAAAACATAATTTTATTAAAAAACCATAATTTTATCAAAAAATAATTTTATTAAGCACAATGGAAAAACAGTGCCCATATTCATCATAAAACATAATTTTATTAAAAAACAATAGTTTTATCAAAAAATAATTTTGTTAAGGAAAATAGAAACACACTTCGATATTCATCAAAAAACATAATTTTTTATTAAAAAACATAATTTTATTAGAAGATAATTTTCTTAAGCGATATAGAAAAAGCATTCCATATTGATCAAAAAACGTAATTTTATTAAGCAAAATGATTGTTTTTTAGAAAAATCAATTTCTCAAAATGTGATGGATGATTTGAAATTAATATCACCTTTGTAAATCTCTCTCTCTCT